GTTTGTGATAGGTAGATTCGCTGAATTGAAGGCAAAGTTGTTTCAAAAGGGTTCTTGGAATTGAGTTGAGGCTTTCAGAGAGAACTTTAAGATAACGTTTTCAGGAATTCAGTCACCCAGAAGAAGTATATTTAACTGATTTTATAGTACGACTTTTAGGACCTAAGCCTAAGCCTAAGCCAGGCAAGAACTGAAGTTAGAATCGGACTAGAGCAACCAGGTTAGATCTACAGTAGATCAAAGCTTGAATGGCCTAAATCGACTTTAAAACAACCAGTTCATCAAGAGAACACTTCGAACTGTTCATTAGTTTTAATCTTATCAACTATTGTTAAAGGTTATCCAGATTTTGTTCAGATCAAAGCTTATCCAGATTTTGTTCAGATCGAAGCTTATTGTTAGCTAACATTATAAGCCAACATTATAAACCAACCATTGCAAAATCTTCAATAAACGGCCACGGAATGACGGCAAAAATCTTTGAATTAAATGGAAAACCCTGGTGTACAATGGCGTTATGAAAGGCGTAGATCAACGCTGCACCAAGCCATAGAATATAGCCACCAAATTTCTGAACAAATTTGTTTTAGCTTCTTTGCTCAAATACCGTAAAGATCCAATTGAATCGAGTAATTTCGGTGATTACACAAAGACGATTGATTGCCAAGAGAATGTAGAGGAAACAGGCGAAATTCCAGGAAACTGAAATTTTCGATAATTTTTTGGGTTTTGGTTTGCCCTTTTGCCCCCATACAAATCAGTTTTGGTCGACTTTTGATAAGCCAACCATTGCAACCAGATTTTGCAATGGTTGGCTTATAATATTAGCTAACAATAATCGATATTTCTTTCTGATTTGCTCAAGTTTCAATAAAGCTTTGGGATTCTTAATAAAATCAGTTCGCACTCACAATTCGAGAAAATTCCATTCAAGTATGCCCAAAATGGATCCAAGCAAAAGACGCCACCAATTACAGCGAAATAAGCATTGAACCAGGATGAGGAAATAATATTCATTCCATCAGCTATCATCAAAACAAGCATTATCTAGAAAAAGGCAGGCTTATGTCTTTTAGCTTATGCTTTAGCCTTTTGTCTTTAGCCTTTAGCTACCTTCAGCCTTTAGCTACCTTTAGCCTTTAGCTACCTTCAGCCTTTAGCTACATTTAGCCTTTAGCTACTTTTAGCCTTTAGCTACTTTTAGCCTTTAGCTACATTTAGCCTTTAGCTACATTTAGCCTTTAGCTACCTTTAGCCTTTACCTACCTTTAGCCTTAAAATCCTTTTAACTCACCCGATAACAAGAATGAGAAGTAAGCTTCATTTTGAGAATCACGTAAAGACTCGGCAGGTAGAGAGCCTAGGCAGTTTTTGAAGAATTCGAACGGTATTGGTTATATGCTGATAAGTCACTGATTACTTTAACTGTATTCAAGCTATAGTTTAGAATCAAATGTAATAGATACAGCTAACAAAGGAAAGTAAAAATCATGCCCAACAATACAAATATTTCATGGAAATGCGTCAAAAAATGAGAGAAATTGGACAAGGAAGGATTCGAACCTAAGCTAGAGATAACTGAAGGGTTTTGTAGACCTAACAAGAGAATGGTCTCAACTCTCAACACTCTCCACTAGACGACAGAGGCCGCTGAAGGCTTGTAACGGCCTCATAAAGCGAATTTGAGCTTTTTCTATGCCAGATTTTCTTCCTTTTCTATTCTATGTCAGATTTTCTATGCGTTTGCTTGCGAATCCGCAGTTAACTTTTGCAGATTCAAATGAGCATCCCCGATTCTAAGAGATATAAGATAAGAATCGATTCTTAACTTCGAGTTGAGACCATTCTCTTGTTAGCTTAAATCTAAGACAGATATTTGGCATATAAAACTTTAAAATATTCACAAGATTCACCAGATAAAACGTTCCCAGAATAGCCAAGAACATCCCCAGCGCTGGCCATTGTTCTCCCGTCTTTTTCCACTCATCCAATGACTTTCCAGAGCAATTGTACATCGAATCAGGATATCCATAGATTCGGCGAATTATTTCGAAATCCGGCATTGTTCAGCTAAAGGATAAACAAGTGAAAAAGGTTTATAAAAGAATGAAAATGGAAATGGAAATCAAGATTCATTTCATTGGGACAAGTCTTTCTGAAAGTACTGTAACAATTAAATACGTTTACTACAGTATACTAGCTTAAAAAGTATTCAATCAAACAGTCAAATGATCAATTGATCTTCAAATGAGAAGCAATCTTAAATCTTTAAATACAAGTGTGAGTCTCGAAAACACATCAAAAACATTTATGGAAGTCCAGCTGATTAGTTCCTACCTGGTTCACTGTGAAATGTAGTTGAAACAGACAAAGAATAAGAGAAATTTTCGGCATTTTATTCTCAGAAGTTTCCCACACATGTGACTCAAAGATTTCTAACGAAAATTTATGGGGAAATCGTTTTACAGAAAAAAAAAAGTGATACAAAAGTAAAAGTTTACTTACTAAAAATAGTTTAATTGCAATTGATATTAGCTCTTCAGAAATTTTCAATTATTAAAACCAATAAAACCATTAAAAGCTTTTACTTTTGAGCACTCGAAATGGATTTGAGTTTTCTTTTTTCTCAGTTTTTCTTTTTCTTCTCCAAATTTTCTTCTCAAATCCATTTCGAGTGTTCAAAATTAAAAGCTTTTAATGGTTTTATTGGTTTTAATAATTGAAAATATCTGAAGAGCTTATATCAATTGCAATCAAACAATTTGATGAGTTTTCAAAAAGGGAAATTGATGGTGATAAATCTATGAAGTGGAAATCCTTTCAAGTAAAAAGTCATTCATTTTTAAAAGGATAGAGTAAAGAGCTCTTGGTACTCAAGTTCAAAATCAAAACTTGATTCAATGCTGGTTTAGTTTGGAGTTTTGTTTGGCATTGATCAGTTTGATCAATTGATCAGGTTCGGTTCAAGGCTGGCTTTGGCTTGGCTTGGCTTTGACTTGGCTTGGCTTGGCTTGGCTTTGGCTTGGCTTGGCTTGGCTTTGGCTTGGCTTGGCTTGGCTTTGGCTTGGCTTGGCTTGGCTTTGGCTTGGCTTGGCTTGGCTTTGGCTTGGCTTGGCTTGGCTTTGGCTTGGCTTGGCTTGGCTTTGGCTTGGCTTGGCTTGGCTTTGGCTTGGCTTGGCTTGCCTTGGCTTGCCTTGGCTTGCCTTGGCTTGCCTTGGCTTGCCTTGGCTTGCCTTGGCTTGCCTTGGCTTGCCTTGGCTTGCCTTGGCTTGCCTTGGCTTGCCTTGGCTTGCCTTGGCTTGCCTTGGCTTGCCTTGGCTTGCCTTGGCTTGCCTTGGCTTGCCTTGGCTTGCCTTGGCTTGCCTTGGCTTGGAAAATCAGATCAAGTCTTGACCTAGTTTCAAGACTAGATTCAAAGTTCAAACTATGGTAGAAATTCTAATAGAAGACCACCACCTGATCCCCTGAAATCGGGACTTTTTGAAACTTCTTTTTAGATAGAATGCTAGATTTAGGTCTAGATAGAAGTATTTTAGCCTCTGAAAAAAATTGAAAACATGCTTTTCGAAAAAAAATGAATGAATAACTTTTTGATTCATATGAACCTTTATCTACTTTTTTGATCGCCAATTTTAAGGGATTGAAAGTTAAAATACCATGGTCTTCTATTAGAATTTTCCTGTAGATTTTTCTAAACTCAGTGATCAAAGAAGCACTTGAAAGCAAAGATTGACGCGAGAAAATTGACTTGAACAGCCGTTCTCACGTGGTTCAAAACGATCCGCACTTTACGGAAATGTCTGTAAACTTTAAGCAATCCAATCCAATCTTGAACAGCCTTTTTACGGAATTTAATCATTCTCTTCCTTATTCAGAAAAGAATTTTTAAAGATTTGCTTGATCGAAACGAATTGCTGTTGTTGGGAAACATTGTTGATCGAAGTCAATTAATTTGTGCTGTTATTTAGTTAGTTTACGACTTCTGTATTATTTCAAAGCCTCTCTTAATCTCTTCATTCTCCCTGACACAGATTGGTTCAAGTTTTCTGTAGATCTTTCTAAACTCAGTGATCAAAGAAGCACTTGAATGCAAAGATTGACGGGAGAAAATTGACTTGAACAGCCTTTCACGGGATTCAAAACGATCCGCACTTTACGGAAATGTCTGTAAACTTTAATCAATCCAATCTTTACAGTATACTTTGCTAGTTTTTTGTAAACTTTATTAGAAAACTCATTAGCTATTAGATTTTTTTATAGATTGAGTTTTTATCCAACTTTCTTCATCATTCACTGTTCTTCCAATTGAGCAAAGTAATCATTTTGACTGTCGCCTGTGTACATTTCCTGAAAATTGAGGGAAACTGAGACTTGTCGTGACAATAAAGTTGTTAAAAATTGTTGCTAAAGATTGTTGTTAAAGATAATTTGGAAAGTCATCGTAATCCGGTTATAGTTTCCAATTCCATAAGAATCAAGCCCTGCATTGGAATCGAAAATAGAGGAAGGATTTACGGCATTTTTTCTAATTGTCCACCTTTTAGAAGCACCAAGCCAACCTTTACATGAACATCAGCAACGCGAGCTTTATCACTGTCGCTTGGTTTTGCTGTGATCTTGAGTATAAACTCTAGAAATGCATTCATTCTTTAATGCAACCATAACTCACTTTAAATCCCGGCACTTTTCCCAAAAAGTCTTCTTCAAAAGCTCAAAGATATGCCAATTAAAAGCAAAAAACCGATAAAACTAAAAAAAACTGAAAACTTTTGTTCGATGAACCCCAATGATTTGTTTTCTTAGTGAGTTAAGAACATCACTCAATAGGAAAACAAATAAACAACAAAGGAAAAGTATTCATCAAATGTAGGATTTAGATGGTTAGAGATGGTCATAACACTCTGGATAGTCTGACTGACAATCACCCAAAGGCAGTTTTTATTTCTCAGCCTTGTCTGATCAATTTTTGAAAAGCTTTCAAACCTTTCCAGAAATCTGTGATGTCACTGAAATATTTCTTGCTTTTGTTGGTGATTCTTTTCCATCAAGTGCTCTCAAATGAAGCGAATGAGGAGAGAATGCGTGCAAAACGGGTACGTTAGTTGTAAGAATGAAAGCTTGTTTACAGTAAAGTTGTGGACATTCTAAGCAATTGTAAATAATGAACGATCTTTCAATTTTGGTTGTATTTTTTTCAAATATTAGGTTGAGGAAAAAATGCGCGTTTTTTGAGTGTAACAATTTATTGCATTCTACAAGAAATAGCAACTATCAATCAGGAAGGTATTCTCCATTTTTATTGATGACTTCTTCTCATCTTCAATGCCCTTGAAGTCCTCGATTCCATTTGAAAGATTGAGGATTTTTGGAGCCAAAATAATTGTCAACCGCTTCTTGCGAATGTACAAATCCTTCTCAAGGGAAGAGAGTAAGGTGCATGAGGAAGAAACTTCCAGTCCCGCTCGTCAATTGTTTTTATAAGTGACCTTTGCAGTGTGAGGTTTCGCATTGTCGTGCAAAAATCGAATCTTTGATGGATTGAGCTTCAATTTCTTTAAGGCATCGTTAACTCTAGTCAATTGTTTTGAATAGAGATCAAGATCAATGTTTTCTCCTGGATTAGCTAACTCATAGTGCACCAAAGTTCCGCCAGCAACAGAGCATTAATTGCTTTCCATGAATATCAGGCTTGGGAGTAGTTTGAGCGGTAGATAGCTATTGGTTCTCCCTTTTGACATTCTCGTAATTCATCCAAGTTTCAGATGTTAAAATCGAATCTCAAAAACCACCAGCTTTGCATTTATGAAGTAAAGAAGAACTGATGTTGACACGAGTTGTTTTGTTGTCTTGAGTCAATTCACCCGGGACCCATTTTCCACGGTGAATTTTTTCCCGAGTTAGTGCAAATGGTTGTCGATTGTCTTCTGATCAACATCAAGTTTTTTAACGGTCCAGAAGATGAGCCTTGCTTTTGTTAATTCGATTCAACTCCCCAAATCATCTTACAGTTAGTTTTAGCCTTCATTGTGGCCCGGCTACGAAAAGTTCCGGATCCTCTACTCGGCTCCCAAATGGAAATGGATTGCTTCCTCATTTCAAGAAGAAACACAAAACAATACTTTCAATTAATCTGACAAAAAAGAAAATGATTTGAAAGCAAAAAAGAAACGACAAAGAAACAAATGATTTCAAGCGAAAAAGAAACGACAACGCGGCGTTTCAAATGAACGACCTCCAAATGGCGACAACGTCAATTGGAATGCGACGTCGCGCGAAAATTAACATTTAACAATAAGATAAAATTTGCGACAGAAATTCAAATTTTACATGAAAACGTCTCGAAAAACACATTTTTTTTCTTTGAAAGTCATTCTCTACTATCAAACATTTCTGCAAGCTGGTTTCAAGACAATTTCAATTCCCCAATGCGAAATTGAAAACGCACATTATTTTTCCCTCAGCCTAATAGCAAACGATCTTCTTTAAATCATTAACAACACTTACAACAACACCAAAAATTTGTTTTCCAAAAGTTGAGCTTTAATTAAAGTCCTTTACCTCTTCAATTCGAGTTTAACAACTGTTTAACGCTCATTTTAATTCTTAAAACCTATGTAAGCTTATTTATGCAAATTTCTGTGATCATAAACGAAAACTAAACTTTCAGAGTGTTGCGAGAGTGTTGACTTTCTTCACCGATCCAGCTCCATGCCAAACAGAGAAAGGAGCGTGTGTTCAATTGATGTGTGATCAATGCTGTAAAGAATGTAGTCCATGGTATTGCCCGAAATCTTTCTGTATGGAGTGCTGTGCATAGAAATTGGCTTGTTATTTTCTTGCTTTAAAAATCACTTTCCATTATTTTGTCTTATTATTTTCTTGCTCAACAAACGCTTTCCATGGTTTTTCCCTAAATTTCTTATCAGCTTGTATCAGCTAAATTCTTGTTTACTTTCTTTGTCATAAACATTTCTTTGACCAAAAATTTTATTACACAAGAAAACAGGCTTTAAAAACCCAACAAAAAGTTAACTCTTGACGTTTCGAATCGCATCATCGATCGCTTTCGAAACATATCTAAAACTTAATAGCATTAAATTGATGACTAAGAAGACTAAATCCAGAAGTATACTCAATCCAAAATACATTACATACTCGACATTTTTCGTATTCAATCCACAAATGTTCGCTCGTCCATCGGTGAGCATAAAGATATGATACTTGTCCACAAGGTACATTACTTGATCGCCTACAATTCAATTGAAAGATAGAAAAGTACTAGAAAAGTATGCCCAACACAAAGACAAAGATTTCTATTATCTTGAAAACGAACGAGTGAGTCCAGTATAGGAAAACATTCCGATTTGTTGTGTGATATGATCCCATGTGCCTGGAGTGCCCAACTTCTCCAAATTCGCTTTCAAAGCTGCTCTCATTTCGCGGATTCTTGAAGACATTGTCTGGAAGGCTTACTTTTAGGCTTACTTGTGAAATAACAAAGTTCTATTTTAGGCTTACTTGAGAAATAACAAAGTTGAGCACAAGAGCTGCTACCTATACCTGAATCCAGTTACCTGAATTGCTTGCAACCATTGCTGATACAATTCCCGATCGCCCAACACTTTGGCCACAATCTAAATCGGGTAAAACTTTAGAATTAAACCCTTTTCTTACTCTAGCCCCATGTGCCGGTGGATTCGACCAATTCGCTCGAATGATCAACTGCATTTGTGATTTGAACGATGGAATCGCTGATGGATCGTTGAGAACGATGGTCAAGTGGCCGACTCTTTCATCTGAATGAGTTTATCAAGAATTTTTGATTTTAATATCTACCGTAAATACTGTAATAGTACCCCACCGCCCTCGTACAGTCGCATAGTCGCAAAAGTTTTTTAGTATTTCATTTTTTTCAAAGCGCCCGTACTTTGAAAAAATGCGTCTTTGGTATCAAAAAATGGCCCTGAATTTCAGCTATTTTTTGATACCTAAGCGCGCATTGTAGCATAAACCAGTGTCGAGAAAAACTCGTTCAAAGCTAGACTACGCAACACTCCGCACCGTCATTATGGGGGTGGGGTACTATTACAATCTTCACGGTAATTTCTTTCTAATACCCAAAACCTACTGTAAAGTCCAAAATTCTTTGCGAATGATTGAGCAATGAACATTTCAAGACCCTGGAATTGAGTTGGATTAGATTAATTACAAGGCTTAAGCTAAGCCAGACAAAGACCAGGTTCTAGCCTAGCTTCTGCCCTTGACTCATCTGGCTTGGCTGGACCTGGTTTCTGTTCAGCTCTGGCCTTTCCTTGCCTGGTTTACAATGATCTGTTGGAGCCATTGCTTGTACTACTTCAAATATGACCTGTTCAATGAAATATCTCACAGCCCATCCATCAGCGGCCGGATCTCCCGAGGCAAATCCTTGATAAGCCATGTCGAAGAAAGGGAACAGGTTTTTACGCTTAAAAATTGCAAATTCTCTATAATCCAAGTCAAATCACCTTGACAACTTCACAAATTTGTTTCCATTGCTCTTTAGTTGGATCCATTCCGGTTGGGTTATGAGCACAGCCGTGTAGAATGATCACTGACTTCGATGGAGCTGATTCAAGATCCTAAACATCTTTTTCAATAGGAAAGTATGCAAATTTTGTCTCTCCATCAGTTTGCGTCAAAGTTCTTTTTGAAAAGTTTTCTCTCACCTCTAGAAAACCCTCAATATCAACCCGCTTGTTGACAGAATCCCAAAAACGATAACTGTGACAGCTCGTGAAGCCGGCATTCGTGAATACCATATCGTGATTTCCCCTAAACATTGTCCCAAGTTTTCTCAAAAACACTGTAAGATTCGTGTAGTTACAATTATAAAAATACCACGTCGGATCACTGTAGTAAGCGGTTTTCAACTTGAGAATCCGCGCCAAAAACTCGGCTCCCATTCGAAGAGAACCTGTCCCAGAGAGACATTGCACACCAATCACCTGAACTCATTTCCTAACAATTTCAAACTGCTACTTCTACTTCTACTTCTACTTCAACTTCTACTTCAGCTTCTACTTCAGCTTCTACTTCAGCTTCTACTTCAACTTCTACTTCAACTTCTACTTCAACTTCTACTTCTACATCTACTAAAGTTCTCAAAGCCTCACCCTTTCTTCCTTGATCGCCGAACTCTCCTCACCCAATGCCAATTTTGTTGCCACCTTTGAGAAAGCATCCAATCCAAGTACAGGCAGATATTCGTGATTCAATGATTCGTCATCAATCAAAATTTTCTCAGCTTCTTTCACAACCGGGAGAACCCAGGGTTTCCCTTCTTCAGTACGATAAGCTAAACAAATTTGATAGGAAAGCTGACGGGATTGTTAGTTTGCAAGCTATCATTTACCAATCCTCACCTCCAACCGTCAAATTGACTTTGTTTCCATCTTTCGATTGATTGTAGAGATCGTTCATTTGATAGACTTCGATTGGTGCGCCCATCGGGATCCCAGAAAAAAACGATGTCATATTTAGATCTATAAGATTATTAGTTAAAAGAAAAATATCTAAGAAACCAAAGATTTTCAAAATTGAATTGTCTTGAAGTGAGAAAAGAGGTCGAACCGTTGGATTTTTTGAGATAAGATCGCGTTTTTCTTGTTTTTCTTGTTTGTTCTTCGTCAAAACCTTTGAGCGAAGTTGGGAAAAGAGATTAAAAAGTGGAAAAACGATATAAATTTAGAATCAAAAGAATCAACTTTGGTAAAATTTGAAGAATCAGCTATTGTTTATGCCTTTTATACAGGTAAAAAGTGAGTAAAAAGTGCAATTTTTCATTCCTTTTCAATCCCCTGTCTCTTTTTTTGTAATCTCTTGCAAATAGTTTATGCAAATGGGTCAAATGATTGCATCAGTCTTTTGATTGCAACACAAAATATGGAAGTAAAAGAACAATAGTATGACTAACAACAACTCATGACCATGACTCCGAAAAACTAGAATTGAATGTACTAGTGAACAATCATAGTCACATACTTCTTACTATGATATTAGAAGTTTAAGGTTATAGATTAGATGTACAATTAGCCAGATACCATGAAAACCCGGCTCAATATGGAAAAAAGCAGAAGAAGCTATCAGAAGAAGCTTTCTGATCGAGATGTTCGTCAAATTGCTAACAGCATTCATGGAAAATCGATATCTCAAGTCAAAAAAAGAGCTCAACCTTGATGTTTGGCAATTTGGCGACAAAATGACAATTTGACAATCTCTTCAAGCAATTGTGAAAGTGCTAAAGAAATGCCGTATCCTCTCTATTATACCAAGAATGCCGTTTCCTCTCTATTAGAATTCCGATCTGGGAGGTGGTTGTAAAAATATTGGCTTGGTGAACTGCGGGCTATTGTCATATGTGACAGTTTGAGCACTTTCTTCAAAAGAAACCTATTTTGGTGTCAATAGAAAAGTTGTAGAGAATCAAAAATCAAGCTTATATCCAAATTTTCAGAACGATTCAAAAACTGCTTTTCAAGAACCGAATGGGAAACCAATGTGAACAGGATGGGAAACGAATGGGAAACGAAGAGGAACCGAATAAGAACCGAATAAGAACCGAATATGATTCCTGAAATCATTTCAAATACTTTTAACTATAAAATAAAAGCGAATTCCCAAAGGATTCAATATTCAATCTCACTGAAAAGCATAAAGTTAGCTTTGTAAAATCAATTATTGCCTAAAAACTAGTTTTATCAAAACTTTTGCATTAAAATCTTTAAAAGTAATCAAATTTTTATTGTTACACATTCAATTTTGTCATTTCAATGATTCCAATATCGCTGAGCCTTTTCTGAATCCTTTCTGGCAGATTATCTTTGCCCCCAGCGACAGTAAAAGGGAATAACTCGACAAGGGAATCCCATTCTGAATCCGTCACTTCTTTCATGAGTCGCTTGATTGAGTGGCCCTGAAGACAAAGTAATTGACAAGCTCGGTTCATCATTATCAAATTGTCTCAAACAGTCAAATCCTCGAATCTATCAACCAACCAATGCCTGTAGTCTTGCCAGTATCTCGAATTGTTTCCAGAGATTCACCGTCTCAACATTTTTCATGAGCAATAAAGCTTTCGTGCTTTCCCAAGCCAAAACGTAACTCTGAAAGGATTTAGCCGAACGATTATGCTTTAAATCTGATTGAATCTTATTCTAAAAAAAGTTATATTTATCGTAATCATCGACTTTTTGATGTAAACACTTTCAAATTTGTTCTAAAACGAACCGCTTGAACAAACTCTTTTCCCTTTCCATTCTCCATCGAATTGTATGTTTCCATGAAACGATTTTCCATCTTTTTCATCACTTCATAAGTAGATGGATGCTGCTTTTTAAGCTCAAGCATAAACTAAAACATTTATATTTTATATATGTCGTAGCCGATTATGAATTTCAGCCGATTATGAATGAGTGGGTTTAGGAGCGTCAAACCATCAAGTATTTGGTATCATTCAACGCAGAATCATTAATAATTATGTTAAATTTTTTTAATTAGAAAGATTTGATAAAGAGAAAAAAAATTATGGGGCTTCAAAGTTTTCTCTTGAACAAACAGTTTTTTTTGCTCTAATTTTTTTCTTTTTATCAAATCTTGCTAATTTAAAAAATTTAACATAATTATCAATGATTCTGCGTTGAATGATACCAAATACTTGATGGTTGGACGCTCCTAAACCCACTCATTCATAATCGGCTACGGGGGTCCTGCTAATTTTGAATGAAACATTGTAGCGCCGGCAATTTTTAACCTAAACTCATAAATTTGGTACCAATCGACGCAGAATTTAATTCGCTACAAGATGATATAATATTGTCCTCATACATTAAAGGGTTGCTCTACTAGAAAGATTTGCCAAAAAATTTCATTCATAATCGGCTACGACATATAAAGAACTTAAAACCTCATCAAAAGTGGTCAAATTGAGGGTTGTGAGCTGATTGATAAAAGCATTCAAATCATCTTGTTTCTCCAAAAACTCCAACATGACAATCTCTGAAAAGAATTGTTTTCTGAACCCTTTTGAGATCTAAAAGAGTTCAATCTTTTCATTTATTAAAAATTCTAAAAAAATCCATCAAACCTGGACTTTTCGGGAAAGCCTTTTGAAATTCTTCAATTTTTCCTCTAACCACATTTTTCATCGGCAACAAACTTTCAGTGGAAATGGCTGTCGTCGGTAAAGCCCAGATTCCAGAAATCAATTGAATAATCAATATTACAATCATTCTCAAATGAATCAATTGAATAAAGTCGAATTTCACAATAGAAATGTTTACAAAACGTATCACCTTTCATTTCAGTGCTTTTCAAAAGTTTCGGGAAAATGAAAAGCCAATTTCTGATCAAAAATGAGCAGCAATGATTGAATAAAAGAAAGAATTGAATCTTTCTAAACTTTCAACTTTTAATTTACCGTAAATGCTGTATTAGAAAGACACCCTCAAACAGAACGACACCCGGAGGGGAATTGTAAAATTAATGACACCCCATTTATATTTGAAATAGAATTTGTATTTGTATTTAAACTGGGCAGCTACGAAATGTTTAAATTTCATTTTCAAAAGCTCATCCTTTTCATTTTCGCGCCAAACATTTATTACATTTACTTTCACTTTTTGTTGCGATTATACAGTCATGGACAAAAGTCTTGGCGGCTCCTGGGAGGCAACTTTCAAACGCAAATTTAGGAACCTTCCCTAGAGGCTATAAAAAAGTTGTCACAAGTATTTTTGAGCATTTTTACTCTACTTTTAGCTATGACCAAGCATTGAAATCGAAATTTTATTTTAAACAACAAAAATAAGCGTAAACGACAAAAAGGTCACAAAAGCAATGAACAATGAAAAATTAATGACACCTCATTTATATTTGAAATAGAATTTTTTAAATTATATTCAAACTGGGCAGCTACGAAATGTTTAAAATTCATTTTCAAAAGCCCATCCTTTTCATTTTCGCGCCAAACATTTATTTATTACATTTACTCTCACTTTTTTCTTGCGATTATATTTCAATAATTTATTCTTTTTAGGAATTGGATCAATCGACGAGAGATCTCTTGATGGATTTGAAGAATTTCGAGCTTAATGGGAAAACGATGAACGAGAAGAATTCTTCAAGAATAGGGATGATTAACAACTGGATCTACGAGGAACAAAAAGGGAGCCAACGGAGGCAATAGATGAAAATGAGGATGACGTGGAGGAAACACGCAAAGAGGAGGTCGGAGTATTGACTACGGGGAATGACAAGGTGCGCATTTCGGTAATGTTAAATGCCAGGTCGGATGGTAAAAAGCTCAAGCCCTATGTCCTTCTTCAAAGGAAACGCGTGGATCCGAAGATCACCTTATCCAATGCTTTAAGCCAGAAGGAGCAATTCCAATAGGTTGCTTAGAGAGTTTTGTTGTTGTTTTATTTCTTTCTGTTTTTATGATTAAATTCAAGAACGCTCGTTTGGTTCAAGAAATCGCTGAGTTGTTGCAAGGACTGGATACATGTGCCGATGACTTGAATGACTGAATCTTTTCGAGATGACTTGAATCTTTTCCATTTTAATATTAGATTTTATGAGCTAAATTATAACGTTTTGACTTGTTAAAGTTGTTTTTAATAAACTTATTCAATGAATACTATTTTTTGTGATCCGCAGTGGTCATTCGAGTGAAAAATAGAATGACACTCTCTAATAGAACGATACCCGGAGGGGGGTATTGAAAAATAGAACGACATCTCCTTCTAATACAGCATTTACGGTAATTTAGCATAGCTACCGTTTTAGGCTAATGTTCTTTTTCCATTCACGCACTTTCTAGCAAACTTGGGTAATGAAACCGGTTTTTTCTGGCTTTTCTGGCACAGTCAGACGTGTGCCAGACGCTGTTTTTCCTAAAAACAACATC